TCTCCTGCTGTAAACAGTTACAGTCCTAGAAACTCATGGGGACAGTTCTGGCCTGTCCTATAAATTTGCTACAGTTGGCATCAACTGGGTGGCAGTGAGTTTGGTGTTTGGTTTTAGATATTAGATGCTATGGGTCAACTTAGCTTTTCTGTGATTCTCAATAGTTTGATAGTCACTAACCTGACTTCCATAATGTAATAAAATGTAATCACTTTCCATGATGTAATGTGATGTATTCGTCCAATCATTTGGAAAATGGGGAATGTTCTTTGCTGTGTGGTTGTAGCCTGCTTCCACTACATGATGGCTGTTCTGGCAAAGCTTGATATCTCTCTTTGCAACTCTGCACTCCTTTTGTAACTTGACCTCTAGTTCTTGGCACACGAATGTTCAGTGTATCTCTTAACCAGCAGACTTGAATTTTCCAGGCACCACACCCCAGAAGAGGTCGCAGCCTGCTTCTTGGCTTGCAGAGTTTGGACTCACCAGCCCCTGCAATCTTGATAGCCAGAAGAGATGGCCAGTCTGCCACCAAATGCATGCCCGCCACCACCAATTTTTCTTTCTTGTTCTCTCTCCCTCTGGTTGCATGTTGGGCTGTGATCAGTTTGGTTGGCATTTCAAAACCATCTGCAGCCCCTTGGAAGCAAGACTGGGCTCTCTAATGCTAAAGAGCTGCATTCTTGGAAACCCACAGAGAGTCACTATGAGTCAGTATTGACTCAATAGCAGCAAGTTTTGAACATGTATATATGATCCTTTGTTTTGCTTTTCCAGAGAACCCAGTCAAAGTCATTACTTGCATTAGAATTTGCTTCTTCTGAGAAAGGGGGGACCTATCACAATGATTGACATAGAACCCCCTCCCAGGGGGAGGAACAACAGAAAGTGGGTGAATGAAGACAGTGGTTGTGTAAGACATGAAAAAAAATTATCGAGGGTTCATGGAGGGGAGAAGTGGAGAGGGGGGAAAATGAGCTGATACAAAGGACTCAAGTAGTTTTGAAAATGATGATGGCAACAAATGTACAAATGTGCTTGACACATGGATGTATGGGTTGAGCTGTAAGAGCCCCAAATAAAATGATTAAATATACAGTATATATGAAAATAATAATAATTTATAATTGATCAAGGGGTCACAAGGGCAGGAGCAAAGGAGGAAGGGAAAAAAGAGGAGCTGATACCAAGGGCTCAAATAGGAAGTAAATGTTTAGAAAATAACAATGGCAACATGTACAAATATGCCTGATCCAATTGATGTATGGATTGGTATAAGAGCTGTAAGAGGACCCAATACAATGATCTTTAAAAAAAAAGAAAGAAGAAAATTATATATAATTGAATAATTGATTGGGGTGATGCTTGTAAAACTGTTATTAAGGTGATCAAATCACTTAATTGTATGATATGTGAAATTATATTCCAATAAAACTTTAAAAAAAAAAAGAATTTGCTTCTTCCTGGAGCAGGGAGTCTTACTGACTAGAGCCATTTTACCCTCTTCAAGGGCCTTTGCTTCATGAGGAATTTTCAGATTTGGGTCCTGAGGTCCGTTCCAGTGTTTAAATTTTCTTACTATTTTTCTCTCCAACATTTTTGTTGGTTTGTTTTTATTTATCTGGAATGATGAGATTTCCTTTGACTTAATTTTTTTTTATATTCAGGATGACAAAATTGCTAAAGCTTGGTCTATTAACTAAAATATTTGTGATTCAAACCCACCAGCCATCCCACAGGAGAATGATGCAGCAATCTGCTTGTGTGGAGAAAATGCTGAAAGGCAGGTTTATTCTGAGCCACAGTCAATACGAATCAGACTTCACTGGTGGCAGTTGGCTTAGTTTGGGACTAGTTCTACCTCGGTATCTGGCTAGACAACCCTGCAGAGGGAAGCCCAGGCTTCAAATTCTAGAATAACAACAGACTTCATATTAGTCTTACTTGGTCTATAATTCATATCACACTAATAATAGTCAATATACTGACAAAGGAGTTGTGATGATGTAGTGGTTAGCATTTGGCTGCCATTCACATAGGCAGCAGCTCAAAATTATCAGCCACTCTATGGGACTAATAAGATGAGGCTTTCTACTGCTGCAATTGGTCTTGAAAACCCATACAGGATGTTGTACCCTGTCTTATAGGAGGTGCTATGAGACAGATTTGACTTGATGGCAATGAGTTTGTATTTTTAAATTTTATACCAGTACATTTCTCAATATATGTATTGTAGTGATACTTTCCAACTTTCTAAACTGCTACGTCTTCTAGGTATCTTGAAATCACTTTTTCAAGAATGATAATATCTTTTCCATCCATTATTCATGACTTCTCTGGGCCTAGCATGACTTCAGTAATTCATTAACAAAAACAATATTATACTATCTTTTGATTAAATGAATCTAGTAGTATTCATTTTAACCTAAAGTCTTCTTCATCCATATCTGAATGGGATATATAGAATAAACCAGACTCCCTTTTAAATATCAGAAATCTACAGTCTCTATAAAGGAAAAGGCATAGTAGCCAAAAACAAACCTATCTTTTCAAAATAAACACAGGTAGGATAAAAATCTACTTTTTAAGTTTACATATTAGCTTGTAGATATAAGTTTTTTATGTCTTAGGTTGAAGAATACCCAAGATCATTGTTAATATTAACATTCCAAATAAAATGATAGATGATACATTTTGTAGATTGCTTATATTAACAGGTGACCCATCTGAAATAAACAAAAACAAAACAAGAAACAGATGAGACTTCCTGTTCCTATGAAGATTTATAGTTTCAGAAACACAAAGAGGGAATTCTACTCTGTCTTACAGGGTCACTCTGAGCAATGAAACATAGTGAATATTAAATCGCATAAAATATGGAACCCTCTTTCCTGATCGTACCCCTATGTCCCTTTTTATTACTAATTCTCCCTCATGAAATTTATTATTAGTGAAGAGACACTAAAATAGCGCCTCTTCCATTAAGGAAATGAAAATGGTCAAAGTCATCAGATTTCACTTTTTTCCTTTTGACACAGTTGGATGCCCAGAAGAAATCCGTTTTCTTTCCACGTCTTTAGCATTCTGATGAAGACACACAGATAAGAGGGAGACAGGAATATTAATTGGGTTAATCCCTTCTATGGATGTTTCATTCTTACTGCTGGTATGAAGGACATCGAATTATTGAATGTGGAGCTTATCGTCCTAGTCTAGCTGCTACTAACTGAGCCTTTTCCTGATGGGCCTGAGAAAGATAGGGCAGGGAAACAGGATTCATTGTCATTGTCAACCTGCTGCATATACAATGAGTCTTCTCAGAAGCAGGATGGATGATTTCACTGTCAGCAAGAGGCAGGAATGGAACCCATCCTTTGGTCCCTGAGATTCCCGCGCAGTGGATCTCCTGGTTGAGGCTTTCAGGGGAGTGGCATACCCTTCGGGCACTTTTTGCTCACCAGCTGCCATCCAATAACTCTGTGCCATGTTGTGACTGAATAACTGTATCCTGAGTGTTTCCTCCTAAATTATAACCTGCTACCGTTCATAGTAAACTCCATATTCATGAGCATTGTCTGTAAGTTCTATGTGGCCCTTGTGATGAATCATAGAACCTAACCAAAAAGTAGAGAGTGCTATGGGAGACAGAGGATTAGAAGTAGTAGAAAATAACAATTTATAAACTATCAAGGGCTCATGAGGGAGGGGGGAGCGGGGAGGGAGGGGGAAAATGAGGACCTAATGCCGGGGGTTTAAGTGGAGAGGAAATGTTTTGAGAATGATGAGGGCAATGAATGTACAAATGCGCTTTACACAATTGATGTGTGTATGGATTGTGCTAAGAGTTGTATGAGCCCCTAATAAAATGATTAACGCCCCCCCCCCAAAAAAAAAGAAGTAGTAGAATGCTCTGTGAGATTCACATGATTCAAATTTGTTATTTATTTGTTTTTACCTTTTCTTTAAGATTATGGGGTCTTCTCCATCCCTTCAATAAATTCCAGTTAAAGTTTCATTTCTACTACCAAAGAAATTCAAGTAAAATAGATGATCTAATAAATGATAAATTCAATTGAGATTTACAGACTAAAAATTAAGATAAATTAATTTCTTCCTACATAAATTGTTTCCTCCACAGCTTCCTTACAAAATAAACCAATAGTATACCTTAAAAATTAATAACTATTATCTATAATGGGGCTTTTGGATTACTTTTTAATAGTTAAAAGCACAAATGTCAAGGGGTTATCACATAGTAATACACTTGGCCATTTTGAGCTTGAAAACACATGAATTCTCGCATGCAGTTGACAAAAATTCTGCATAGAATCGGGCTTGTTTCTTAGAATAGATGAAATCTTCTGCTTGAATACCTGCATCACCCAAGAGGAATTCCCTTCTTGTGGTATTAGATTGAGCCAAATTTGATGAACCCTCTGAAGAGTGCCTCATCCTTTTGAAAGGTTCTTTATCTCTCTGTATCACTGGTATTAGAGAAGAAAGATTATACTTAACTTTTAATTTTTCTATCCATATAAAGGTATCTTTATGATAATCATCTTTGGAGCCTTTTAGTTTTTCCCTTTACTTTTGCTCTTCCTGGTCAGTAGATATGATGGTTTGACTGGTGATTTAGTCATTTGTAGTTTTAAGCCATCTTTCCCTTTCCCTTTACACTGAGCTGCTTACAGGAAGAAGCAATAGGTCTCTGCACTCCTTACACTGAACTCCCTAGAGCAGGCATGTGGAGGGAGCCTGCAGTGTCCCAAGATGTCCTGGGACTTGATGCACATCTATCTATTGCTGAGGTAAATGTTAAGCACCCCATTTCTGCCATATACTAAAAAGCAATCTCTCACATATTAGCTGTTTCATTAATAAAGTGATATTTGGATTTTCCATTTGCATGTTCTTAAAGGCATAAAATCCCACTCTGTTGTAAACTTTGGGAGCAAGAAGGAAAATCCCAAGAAAACAGATTAGTAGTGCTTGGTATTTACCTGTCCAAAATTTCTCCAAAAGGTCCTGAACTTCCTGAGAATATCCCAATATTAAAGAAGTGCTCCGGATTTCTGCAGATGCTGCTGCTTCACACCTAGAAGAAGACAACACAGATATCATGTTTTCAAAACCACAATAAAAAAATGAAAATAAATTCTGCGTTAGTTGTTTCCTAAGTGCTACGCCCTGGCAAGAGAATTGAGATGCGAGATTATCTGTATTACTAATACCCACACACACACAAATGTAACTGTACTCATATTTGCCTTTGCTTTTGCTATGGACCTCTCATCTATATAAACATGTATGCTTTACTTTGCTGATTCAGAGATTTGCTAGGCTTCTGTTTCTTTGTCCATTGCTGAATAATAGTGAAATATGTCTAATGAATTTCATTGGGGACGTTTTTTAATCCATAAGTACCTTTGTGAAAACATTTAAAAGATTATCTTGCTCTTAGATCATTCCTTTGGCCCAAACTCAATACCTTGCAACAATGACTGGTTTACCTATCCCAAAAGGCAAACATATCAGAAAAGTAGTACACCTGGTGTAATTTACAGATTTCTGTTTAGCAGAGTAAAAAAACAAATTAAATACAGCACTGTGTGGAAAATCAGAAGAGCATTCAATTCATAACCCTACCATAATTAGCCAGACAATTTGGGGGAAATGTACAAACCACTTTAAAGTCTCTCACCATAAAATGAAAGGTGTGTAAAATTCCCTTGAAAGTTTCCTCCACCTCCTGATTATGTGGTACTTTCTCTTCGAAGGATGTATTTTAATGTAAGTCGAGTAGTCAGAAATGTATTCGGTGTTAGTCAAACTCTCATGATTAGAGGAAAATGGAGAGTTTATCATTTTATTATATGTAGTTAATTACTGGTGTCTTTCTGTGCTGGGCAATTAGTTATTTGAAGATAAATGATAACTAAGGTAACTGTAACCAATTATCTTGAGGTTCACCTATTGATTTGAAAAAAAATCAATGATGGACCTCTTGATGCTTAGAAAATATGATTTCTCACCCAAAGGATTCATAATTCTTTGGGAACTGATGCCCAAGAGATTCAGCTGTCTATCCTTCAGTTGCCTTGACATTGAAATGAAGAAGCTGGAGTTCTGAAGAAATAGGAACCTGTAGATAATTTGTAATATAGTTTATAATACTTGGCATGATATCATGACTATCTTTTCTTTCAGATACCCTCCAAGGAGAAAACATATTTTTGAGTGAAATATCAATATTTACCTGGTGTTTTATGTTTCTCTTACAAAAGGTAAAAAAAAAACAAATTCTTAAAATTATGCCTCAACTTATTTTTCAAATTATTCCTAGAATTTCCTATGAGGCTTTCTTGAAAACCACAAAGAGAATTCTTCAAATTATTCCTGGAATTGAGGGATAGATGAGATAATTATAAACAATAATCAATTAGAGTCAACACATCATATTGGTTATTACTGCTATTAGAATAATGAGTAATTTAACCTGTACTGTATTTATGACCTTAGATGAAACTCTTTATATTATTTTATACATTAAGACCCAGACCTGCCTTAGGTTGAATGAACAAAAGATGATCTCTTATGTAAACCCGAACCTAATTCACAATGAAAATTATAAAACCCAGAAAGACTCATTTATAACTGCCCTAAGAAATATTTAAATTATGAGTGCCATTTTATACATGAAGAAACTGAGCCACAAAGGTAAGTGTAAGACAATTTCCCAGAAAAAGAGAATTAAGTAAGAGCTAGCAGATCTGTTTGACTCCAAAGGCCATACTTCTTTAGGATTGACTTATGGTCCTCCAAAATATAGAGAACATCAGAAAGTTCATGGAAAAGTGGAGCGAAAAGATGATTGCTTTTTTCCCCATGAACTTTTGAAGCTCCGCCTTTTGTGTTGAAATCTTAACCCCTATACTGGCGGACTAATCCCATCTGTAACTAGGTGTTTTGTTACATTAATGAAGAGGTGGTCTGGGGATTGACCTGATATGGCCTTATCCCTTTAACTGCCTCCCACCAAACATTTTTCCTGCTGGCTCTGAGAAAGGGATGGTGTGATTCAGTTGTGAGTGACTGTTAACAGGGCTAATTCTGAGAGTCAAGTCTTGGAAATCTAGCAGAGGGATTGCTCAATTTGGCCATCCTGCTTGGTATCAAATAATTCACTTCAGAAACAAGAAGTAATCTCAGGACCATCAAGAAAGAAGATCCAGGAATGGAGTTCATCCCTTGGACCCAGATATCACTCTGCATTCCAATTCCTTGATCCAGAGATAGGAAGCTGTGATGCCTTAGGTGTGGCAGAGGAGTGACAAAGGAGTAGCACTAGTAGAACCAATAGCCAGATCATGAGACAGAGTGGGGGCTTCTGTAACCAAAACCCCAAACCAAACTCACCGCCATCGAGTCAATAGCAGCCCTTAGTGACCCTATAGGACAGGGTAGAACTGCTCCTGAGAGTTTCTGAGACTGTAATTCTTTATGGGAGTAGAAAGCTGCATCTTTCTCCCAAGGAGCGGGCTGGTGACCATGTACCCAAGCAAAACCATAACACCACCAGGGCTCAAGAATCAAGTAAGGCCAAATGCCTATCAAGTGGAGTGTGTGCAAGCATTTAACTAGGAACCTAGAGCTGAGTGCCTTCAGACTGAGGTTTAAGGTGAAATGGAGTACCGTTTGGCATTTAGCAATGGTAACAAACTTTGTAACATTGCCCCAAAAGGACAGAGGCCAAGCTAAATGACCAAGGCCAAAGAGAAGTTTGCTTATGAGCATGGTGAAGAAGCTGTGCTGATTGATCTGTCTCTTGAGCATCTCTGCTCTTCAACTATAATGTCAACTTCCCCAAGAAAGCCCGTAACTTTCAGATTGATCTGGGAGTTCTCTGTAGCTCCTGCCCTGAGTGACTGAGCCCATCTGTGCAATAGAAAGCACCATGGCATGAGTGGGTCAGCATCAGTAAAGGAGCGTTAGAGTTGGAGGCATGTATGAACCCTTCCCCATAGGACTTGGCCAAGGTCTGATGCTGAGAGTGACCCTCCTCCCCTCTCTGAGCATCACATGAGACCAGAGGGCAGACCCATGTCATTTCTTACAGGGAACACATCGCGGTAGTTCTAAGTGCATCCACCTCTGGATTACAAGAAACATCAGGTTTGACACAGAAGAGAGTATAAATGGGCAGAATGGGCTAAGGACAGATATCACATGAATATCACCCAGGAACAAAGTAAGCCGGGGTTATAGAAGTTGACCGAGAGCATGTTTGTCTTCCTAGAACTAGTACCTTCAATGTAGACTTCGAGCCTCTGGAAGTGTGAGATAATCAAGTACGCTTCTTCTCATGGTATTTATATGAGAGCCCCACTAAGAGATGAAGACATTAGGCTATATTCCTTTGCACTGTCAATCTTGTGGGCTACAGCAGGGTCATCAATATTCATGGCAAAAGGTTTACCACGATGAGTTTATCTCAGTTTCTGTATGTATCTACAAATAGTCGTTCTTTGGAATTTGAATGCCTGTCTTATGTCTCTCCAGAACTCTGATGTTTGTGTCATTGCTCTGTTTGGGGGTGGGGTGGGGGGGTGGAGCCATATTTTCCTCATCTGCTAGCTTGAGGTTTTTCCTGCTCTTTAGCTTGTTTCCACAAAACGTTGGATACCAGGATGGTTCTTTTATAGGCTTCTCAATTGGTACAGAGAACTGAGCTAGTTGGGGCTGCAGTAGCATATAGGCATCAAATGTGAAAACACACTATAGTGGGTTCCTGCAAAGAGAAGATTTCTGCAGAGGGCTTGTTGAACACAATAACAATGGATTGTATTAGTATATAGCTTTATAGTGAGCCTTGAAATTGAACTCGTATTCAATTAGTTCAAATTCCTCATTGTCTGGGCAAAGGAATTAAGATACAAGGTACTCACAAACACGAAATTATGTTTGTAGATTTATGTACCGAGTTTCTCAGTAGTACATTTACTCCTCAATTGCATGATTATATGCACCCCTTAAAAATATAACTCACTATTTAGGCTTGCATGTGTAGGTCTCAGTGTATAGGCTAAGACCCATATGGCATAATGGATACAGAAGAGAACTTGAAGTCAAACCAACTTGAGTTCAAGGGTCAGCATTGCCACTTCTAATTGGTGTGACTTTAGGACAGCGACTTACTCTCTCCATGGTTTCATTTCCTAACTTATGAAACGTGCCACTGTGAGCAGCCTCCCCTCGGGATCATTAAGATGACCGAATGACACGATGTTTATAATGTACTTTGATAGCTTTATAAAGAAGAGGCCCTGGCACAGAATAAGCAATCAAAAATTGCCAGATGTTATCAATATCAACATTGCCTGTATCATTTATTTTGTGTAATTTTCATCTAATTGAATAGCCTTTGAAGATCATATTTTCTCTTAAAATGTTTTTGTTGTTAGCTCCCTTTGAACTGGTTCTGCCTCAGGGCAACCTGGTGGAAAACAGAATGGAGAAGTACTTGTTTCTGCACTGTTTTCACAATCACTACCCTATTTAGGCAGACAATATTTTGTGATCATCCGTAGGGTCTAATTTCCAGAAGAGTGCCAGGGCTTTCTTACTCATCTGTCTTAGTCTGGAAGTGTCACCAAAAACAGCTCCACCTTGCTGGTATTTGAAATATTGCTGGCAGAAAATCCAGCATTAGCAACAACACCAAAACCATTGTCGTATGAAAAACTGATAGAAGGGCCAAGGCTTTTTAAAATAAAAACTGTGAACCCAATGAAAGAAGATTTTGGCTAAAAGAAACCAAACAGAGCTAGGTAAACAATGATTATAGTGAGTTTTGTTTTCTCATTGGTGAAATGGGAAAGGCACTAATCTCTATACAATTGTAAAAATTAGTTGTTCCGGGCTCTGAAAGAATCAATTCAATAATTGATCATTTTGCTCAAGATTATCCAAATCCATTACATGTAAATGCAGAGTTTCTCTTAGCCTGACTTCTTCAGGTTTTACAGCACTCATTAGGAAACTAATGATTTTACATGAGAAAGAAAGAACAAAATAGAAACCTATTCTGTTTTTTTC